GTTTTCTCTGCCACTAAGACCTATCAAGACCTATCAATTCCTGTTATCTCTGCCGCTAAGACCTATCAATTCCTGTTATCTCTGCTGCTAAGACCTATCAATCCCTGTTTTCTCTGCCACTAAGACCTATCAAGACCTATCAATTCCTGTTATCTCTGCCGCTAAGACCTATCAATCCCTGTTATCTCTGCCGCTAAGACCTATCAATCCCTGTTTTCTCTGCCGCTAAGACCTATCAATTCCTGTTATCTCTGCCGCTAAGACCTATCAATTCCTGTTATTTCTGCCGCTAAGACCTATCAATTCCTGTTATCTCTGTCGCTAAGACCTATCCTATTGAATATTTTATCAGAATGCTGTATGGTTTTTAAAAAAAAGTTTAAACTCACTTTTGAAATGACTATACAAGTAAAACCTTCAATCCTTATGAAAACCTAAGCAAATATATAGTTTATAGTATTTGTTAAAATACTGTGCTGCCAACATTTTCAAATCTTGATTTAAAAAAAAAACACTACACGATTGACATTCATGACATACACTTTTTTAAGTGTAGTCTTTTATTTTTAACACAAAACCAGGTTTAATTTTTTTAGATACTTTTTAATAACAGCTTTACAAGCATTGACCAAAGTTTATATACATTCAGCCTAAATTCAAATTGATAATTCACTTCAATTCAGATTCAGATAACTATCAAATCTGCATTTTATGGAAACTCATGATGTTCTAATCCTTAACAAAGATGAAAAAAAATTAAATGATTAAATTAATTGATTTTTGTGACAAAGAGTAATTGTAGGAAAAATGTGAGAGTTAGGCCCAAAAATTTAGAATAAGTCATATACCTGATCAACAAGCCAATATTGACATTCTAAATACATTTTAAAATATGAAAATTTACATAAAGTAAATATTTTTTGACTGTTAATTGTTTGATTTAGGGAGTGAAAAGAACATCAGAAGTATGATTTACGGTAAAATATTTTACTTCCTTCTGGGAAACATTGGAATATACCCTTTCTGGGAAACATTGGAATATACCCTCTCTGGTAAACATTGGAATATACCCTCTCTGGGAAAAATTGGAATATAGTAATACACTCTCTGGGAAACATTGGAATATACCCTCTCTGGTAAACATTGGAATATACCCTCTCTGGGAAACATTGGAATACGCACTCTCACGGAAACATTGGAATATACCCCTTCTGGGAAACATTGGAATATACCCTCTCTGGGAAAAATTGGAATATACACTCTCTGGGAAACATTGGAATATACCCCTTTTGGGAAACATTGGAATATACCCTCTTTGGGAAAAATTGAAATATACACTCTCTGGGAAACATTGGAATATACCCCTTCTGGGAAACATTGGAATATATCCTTTCTGAGAAACATTGGAATATGCACTCTCTGGGAAACATTGGAATATACACTCTCTGGGAAACATTGGAATATGCACTCTCTGGGAAACATTGGAATATACACCTTCTGGGAAACATTGGAATAAACCCTCTCTGGGAAAAATTGGAATATGCACTCTCTGGGACACATTGGAATATACCCCTTCTGGGAAACATTGGAATATACCCTCTCTGGGAAAAATTGGAATATGCACTCTCTGGGAAACATTGGAATATACCCCTTCTGGGAAACATTGGAATATATCCTTTCTGGGAAACATTGGAATATACCCTCTCTGGGAAACATTGGAATATACCCTCTGACCAAAAAGGTTGTTATGAAAAGATATTTACATGTACACATTTTTTCATAGATAAACCTTGTGGTCTTGATGTGGCTATTGGTTTTTTTAACCAAAAACTGTCAAAAATCATTCAAACTTACAATTTTCGTTTGCAATTTGTGCACCTACAGTGCCACAGTGACTTAATTATTGATGTAATATGCCCAGATTTTATATGTGTCAGTTTTTTTTTTTAAGTCTCATCAAGTTTTATGATAATGAGTAAAATTTTTGGGCCAATTTGAACCTTCATGAACCTTCACATTAAAAAAAAGAACAATTAGAAAATTAGAATAAAAAGCAGGCAATGCTTGAAATGCCTTATTGAACCTAAAATTTCTCAAATCATTGAGAAGATTTCATGAATGAAAATGTAGGCATTAGCTAGGTTCATGCAAAATTATGTAAACAATAACTGTAGAAAAAACATATATTGTCAAAAAAGAGGCAAACAATTTGACTTTTCAAGATGTCCAAAACAGCTGTTTGGTAGGGTCATAGATAAAGATATAACAGAAAATATAAAAGAGTCTCCATGTAAATTTGAGAAAGAAAGAAATTATGTGGCATGATATTGAAAAAAATCAGAAAATAGACAAGTGAAAGAAGACCTGAATATAGTACAGACAGAATTCAGGTCAGATCTGTGAGAGAAAGCCATACGTAAAGGTTTGACGTCATCATTCAACCAGAGATCAATACAGTGTTTTACATTTTGTCCTGAGATGTTTGTATAAAATAGACAATGATTGCAAAATCAATAAAGCATTATGGCTACAGGGTTGGTTAAAATGGCTTCATTTGATCGTGTAGTTCAGAAACAGACAAGTTTATTAAATAAACGGGACGTTTTATGCTATTTTGGAATAATATTGCTATTTTATAGATGAAAATATCAATACATGTAATAGCAAAGCAAAAATAAAGTTTAGTATTGGTTTTGCACAGATTTTATTGGAAGGAAATGGGTTAATAATCAAACAATACACTTTTAGTTGTGCAGAAATCTAACCAGACAAAATTGGATCTATTCAGTAAATTATCAGTACAAGTGACATATCTATTTTACTTAATATTGATACAAGCATCATGTTACTAGCCATTTATGTCATACATGTACACGATATAATAAATAGGAAATATGAATTAAAGAGGTCCTCTTTATCTTACATGGCTTACTAAATTGTTTCATAATTTTTCACTTAGCAAGATTTCTCCATTTAAGGATTATAAGAATTGAATTCAATTGACAACGTATGAATTTAGAGCATTTAAAGTTTGATATAAAAGAAAACTTATAAACAATGATAAATATTTTTTTTTCACAATTTGCCAGTTGAACATAGTTTCTACAAATATGTAAATTATTTTGTACATTGTGGAACATGTATTTAACTTTTAACAAGGTGTTAATTTCAACCACAGAAATATAACATAGCCTAGAAAATTGTTATCAAAGTTTGAAAAATTTGGAAATGAACCATTGAAATTTTGATTAAAACTCAATATGCCCTTTGACATGGCTACCTCCATTTCTAGAATAGAAAGTAGACCAGTTAGTTAAAGTTAAAAGAAAATAAAAGAAAGTCCTGTAAACAACTAATATATTACTGCCAATTTATTTCAAAATAAAACTTTGTAGGACCAAACAGCAATCATGCATGGTCACAGACATTACAAGTATAGCCCCTGGTTACATTGTATATCAATATTTGATATGGAACCATATTATCATTGTGATAATTTGTAATCTTATTCATACCTTCATTAATGGGAATAATTGATCTGAAATATTTTCTGCAAATTACAGGACAACCAAATTTTCACTAGGAACCCCAGATTTGTAGTCTAGGTGGGCAAAATAGAAATGACCACTAGGCTAAAAAAAAATTTGGAGAACTTTGCAAATCTGGTTTCAGCACAATGACAATAAAAACTAATATATAAGTAAGAAAATTGTATTATAGCATACAGAATAAGAGTTCACTTTTGATCCCAAAAGGAAACACAAGACTCATTTTAAGTGTTGAAAACAAACGGGCAAGAAAAATTAAAATGACATAACATACATGTTTAAAAATATACAAGTTTATTGATGAAAAGGATGCTTCATTAATAACTTCACCTTCAGTTTTACCATTAAATGACAGTGTACAACCATACTATTAATTAATGGTTCCTATCGGTTCCTTTGGCATACCACTAAGGGAACTCGAGGGCGAATGGCTAGCAGGATTTAATTTTACAGATCGCTCAATGGCTTTTAAATCTAACCAATATATTTATGTAGCACATCACGCTGAGTGAGGAAACAAATCCTCCAATATTACTGGTTAGTTTGATTAAACATGCTTACAGTAAGTACTTGTAAGCTATTGATTTACATAGGTAGGACAATGATCTCTTAAAGTAGTTAGATATTCAATATTATGTTAACATTGACAGTATAGCTTCATTATTCAGTTCATATTTTTTAGATCAGCAATTAGCTTTTCAATTGTACATGGACAACTCTTCAGTTATGCATTTTGTTACTGTGGGTTCCTTTATTTGCGTGGGTAGCAATTTTCATGGATTGAGAAAAAAAATGAAATTTTGTAGATATTTGATTTCTTGGTTTTGCAAAAGTTTGTTTTTAATTAAATTTATATTTTGCTGTTTCCCTATTCCAACAAAATGAAGAAATTTGGTACCCAACGAAACCACAGTACTCCACATTTATGGCCTTTATTATGACAAAACATTTCTTTTTCCTTTCTATTCTATCTGGCATTATCTGTATTGTAATGAAGTATTCCTGTTATCCTCATTCAGGTCATCAACGTATTCGTTGATCCCCATTTTCACTGGCTGCAGGGGTTTGTTTTAGGCATACAGGATATTAACCCTATTTGTAACATTGTCTGCAATATTGATTATAATTGTGTGATGCAGGTAGAAAAACTTTGTTAGCTTTGCATTTATACAAAAGAGTAAGATCTGTGACATCAATATAAGGAGAAAGGGTATGATTTCCAATGAGACAGCTTTCCAATAGAGTTCAATTGATGTGGATTCAAGGAACTACAGGTCATCCTACGGCCTTCAATAATGAGAAAACCCATACTGTATAGTCAGCTATTAAAGGCTATTATTATTTTGAGTCAAATATTGGCCTATTCGCCCACACTCTTTTCTTAACAACTTGCAAAAATATTGATATTTTGATATTTTTATAGATGCTCTATAAAATTATACGATTTTGCAGGAAGTGTTGTTATTCATCAAAATGAAAAGACAGAATGTATGAAGAACCTATGGAGAAAAACAACCAAAGAATAGCGACTCCTTCCGAAAGTATACAAAAGATTGCAACAGATTTGAGTCCAAAAGTATTATCCGGCATATTACAGGTTAAAAGTCAGGGCATTAACAAGTGTATATGATTGAGTAATTGACTACAGTACTTGCTCCATTTGTACAAGAATTAATTTCCCTCAGCATATTTTAAGTTATTGACACTATACATTCAATTTTATCAGTTTTTAAGGCATCAGATATTCTGTTACAAAATTCAAGGTCTTCAAACACCAATACAAAACCTACTCAACAACACCTCAAACACAAGACATCTAGACTCTTACATATCAACTGTACAAATGTTTTTTTCTTTCATCTGTTAAAAATGGAAGCTTGACAATATTTAAGATTTCCATAATAGAGTACATGTACACACAAGGAATGAAAGAAGTGCAACTTAATTGGATTATATTTGCCTGTCTTATTTTTATTACTGATTGAGCCCATTGGCATTGCTTGTGGATGAAATATAATTTTTATACAATGTGAATATGTATCTATGAAGTTATCTGACATCGGCATTGTATACAAATCACTTTGTTTGAACTGTCACAACAAGGTTTAAAAATGTCCCACAAATGGTAATATACTGTCATTTATATTTTGAATACGAAATAAGGAGATGTAGTATGATTGCCAATGAGATGACTATTTAAGACTGATAAGAAATTTATCAATATATATATTTGTCTTAACGGAAATTTTGGGAGCATTAAGAAAACGAGCAAATTCAACAGAAGGGGTTTTTAATTTTTTTATAGAACATGATTGAAAAATGTAAACCACAATATTCTCTGCTTGAATGGTGCAACAACAGCAGATATGAATACCAATTTGAATACTGGCTTTATTGACTGATGTAAGTGGTGAACCAATAAACCACACATATGTAAAGGAGATTTTTGCATTGACTTAACAAAAATAATATTTAGTAAACTTCCTCAATTTATCAGATTAGTATTCATAAACTGACATTTAATTCAGGATTTATAGATCATGAAAATGTTTTATATTAAGAACAGTGATTAGACTATGGAGAATAAAATTCTATTTAATGTTACATCTTAATCCCATTCAAAAATAAAACAATAATCCGATTTCATGACAATAAAACAAGATTAATAGTTCCAAAATTAGGATAGGTATAGCATAGATTCACCTGTGTGAATACAGATTGAAATGTTGTGTATAGCCTAAAGCAGTAGTTTCTTTATTGATATACATCATTCTGACATACAAAATGTACCTGTTCTAATTTCTCTTTTATGCTAGTCCTGTTGTCGATAAAAAGTTAATTAGACATACATAGAATATATATATATCATTTTATTGAAAACGAAAATGGTATATGTTCTTTTAAGTTATTAAAAATGAACAATCATAAAAAGAAAGTAATTAAAGTCTGCCATTGAAATGGTCACGGTAAATGTACATTAATGATGAATAATTAATAAGTAATTATTAGAGTTTATGGGTTATTTACTGGGATAGATGAAGTGAAGGAAAACAAGTCCCATAATAATATTCCAAGGCTAAGAATATTCATGTCTCTTCATGAGGGTCTGGATGGGGTTTAAAGATTAGAGAATACTAAGTCGGAAGAGCAAAATGAAGGACCAAAAAATAAGAATAGAGAATAATGAGGTGCTTAATTGTAAAGAATATAAAATAATGGGGTGCTAAATTATTAAGAATAGAGGGTAATGAGCTGCTAAATTGTAAATAGAGAGTAATGGGGTACTAAATTGTAAATAGAGAGTAATGGGGTACTAAATTGTAAATAGAGAGTAATGGGGTACTAAATTGTAAATAGAGAGTAATGGGGTACTAAATTGTAAATAGAGAGTAATGGGGTACTAAATTGTAAATAATAGAGAATAATGGGCAAAATGAATAAAGAATAGAGAAAATGGTATAAAAATTAAATTATAAAGAAAAGAATACCCTGTCATCCAGACCCTCCTTAATGGTGGTGGCAAATTTTGTAAAAGAGAAAGATATACATTATGATTTAAGTCTTTTTTAGGGTACCTGTTAGATTTATTGTTTTAAAATTTGTGTGCATTGCAAAATGGAGAATTAGTACCCTGAAAAAAATGTTCTGTGTACAGAACCTTCCGAAAGGTTGAAATGATTATGTTGTAATGTTAAGTTCTTAAAATGGAAAACCCAGAGGAGTACCACATAAACTTTCAAGGTAGTTTTTTAGGACTTTTATAATCTAATGATTCAACTTAAGCAATTACAATTGATGTAATGAATTCTGTATTTAAGTATATTTTAGACGTTCCTTCATTTTGGTCTACTTTTTAATGCATGGACTATTATGATGTCCTTATCTTACTTGGGTCTTTTGAAAGGAGACTTCATCTCATTCTGATAGACTGTGATATGCTTAGAGTAATCTTGGAGTTATCTCATTTGGATATTTTTTAATATGCACAACTTGATATTGTTGGAGTCCTTGCCTCAGTTGGGTCTATTTTGATTAGCATAGATATAATTTTTCACAGTAAAGATTAATTCCTCTTCATAAAAAGGGTTAGTTTGAGTTTTCTATGAATATCTGATCTAATCATTTGTTTATTTGTTGCATCTATTTGTAACATGCTCATTAGTATTTTAGATTACTCATATCATTTTTTATAAGCCTGTCTTTTGAAGTAACGTATTATGGTATACAGTCGTTTATCAGTCCGTCCATCTAGACGTTTGTCAACATTCAGACAATAATTCAAATTTGTTTTAACCAAGTCTCATGAAATTTAGGATTGCTAGAAGAAAGCTCCCTTTGGATTTTGATTTTTTCCAATTTTATCATTCCAGAGTAATTTGACTTTAACTTTGGAATAATTGATAATATAATGAATTTCTTACCTACTGTGAATTTATATAATTTTAAAAAAAAATGGATTGAAGATAAAATTTTGATGCCCCCAGTGTCGGCAACAGGGGCATTAAGTGTTACCCTTTACTGTCCATCCTTCCGTCTTTCCGTCCTTCCATCCGTCCCATTTTTGTTTGTTTGAAGCTTGAGCAGGGGCATTCGTATCCTCAGACACATTCTTCTTTTATTTTTCAATTACGTAATCAGTGACACAAATGAAAAACTGGGCCATATGAAATTTGTATTTAGTTAAACACTTAAGTTTGTGGTTCACCATTACCCACGAAATCCACAAAAATGTGATCCCCATATATATATATATAGCGGTATATATGTATATGATAATAATACACAGTATGTTCACCTTATCTGAAGTATTGACAAATGTCTGGATGGACAGACTGATGAACTACAGTATACCCTAATATGTCACTTCAAAGACAGGCTTATAAAAAATGATATGAAGAACTAAAATACTAATTACTTATGAGTATGTTACAAGGAATCATTGCAATCTGATTTTGTCAAGAAACTGTAACAGAAACTTGATAATTGTAAAAAATACTAATACTTTTAAAACACCAGGAACAGTTGAACTTGAAATATTATAAAAAGTCACTTTGATTCTAATATTCTATATCTACAGATCAATTTACACATTTCTAAAATATCATTTAAATCAAGTTAGGCCACAGATTATTTTCCCACAGTTTCACAGATATTATTTCGGGTGACTGCTTTTCTATGAAATGTTTACAGTTAATACTTCAATTCAAACAATTATTTCCTTGAATAACAACACCTACACTGTGCAGTCTTGTAAACATTTAGTGTTATTTTTTGTATGTGCTTTTAAAGCCAAAACTTGCATATTTACATTACAAATTCTGTTGTTTCAGTAGCACTTTCACCTTTTTTATTAGGTTAATTTGTTAATGCTTTGCTTTAAGATAACATTAGATTACAGTGTTCATAAGCCTAACACCCACTTAACATGTAACTTTTTTTTTTATTAATTACAGGATTTTAGGCAATATTCTATTGCTTCATTTGTTTTTGATGGTTCCAATTTTTTTAAAGGTATAGAGTAAGAAGAAAAAATGGTGAATACTTGTTGATTATGTAGTTTTGATAAAGTAATGCACACAAACCTTACATAAAATTGTATTTTGTTGAAAGATGCTAAAACTACCTTTTTTACCATAAAAAATGAATAATTGAATAAAAAAAAAGCTTATGTGCTATAACAAACCCAAAAACGATAAACTGCAATAGCCTTGTCCATCCATCATTTATTCATCTGCACTTTTGTCGGTTTGTCTGTATAATTTTCATACATTTTACTCGGCTTCAGTTCTGTAGTAAGGAACTTTGACAATTCCTTGATATTTTTTATTATACCCATTGAGTTTTGAATTGTTTTACACAAGTCTAATAACAAGTGGGAGGTATACTTTGACAGGAACTCCTTGTTTTCAGCCTATATCAAGGAATACATAAATGTCTTAAAAATATTATTTATTTAAATTGCTGACATGGCTGGGGTTATTAAATACTATTTATTTCAATTGCTGGCATGGATGGGGTTAACATGCTGTCAGTTCTTCTTTCTCCCTCAAAAAAGAAAAATTAAAATGACCAAGACTTTTATAGTCGGATAAAACAATGTTCAATTGACCCGATTTTTATACCTGCACATAGGAAATAAAACTTCTTTTGAATACAGACTGCTTATTCCGTATAAGTAAGGTAAAAAAACCAAAAAAAACCAAGATAAAACCATGATGTCTAAATAATCTCCCACTCAGCAAACAGTGTTTAATAAACCCTCACTTTTATAAACCCTTACAGTAAAAAATGTCAATGCAGCAAAAACATTCAGACAGCCAAATGGAGAGATGCCCTATTTTTTATTTCCATTAAACAGTCCAAAAAGGAAGAAGAAAAGAGACATTACCAAAAGAGAAAATGTAGACTAGCCTGGACTTCTGTCTCTCCTGCAAGAAAAGGGGGCACATACCTCAATTTCCATTTCCCCTCACACAAAGTAGTAAATAACACTTTCTTTAGGAGTAATACCACCATTGTTTTTTCCTATTAGTCTTTGTTAAATTTTCATAAAATTGGCCTGAGTAAAATTTTATCCTGTCCATAACATTTCATTGCATATAAGGTAATAACCATGACTGGAAGTTAACCAATCAAAATTTTTACCTTTTTTTTCCTGTTTACAAGCTTTAGTAACCATGTAGCCTCAAGTTTTAAAAATATTTTATAGAAACACCAAATAAAAAAAGAATGGTGCTTTGAAACACCCAAGATATCTGTTTATGACTCAGAATTTTTTTACTGCAATGAAATGTAGGATTAATTTCCTACAACTGTCAAATTCAAGGGAATAATTTTTTTTCAACCCTTTTTCGTATGAAACCGGATGTGATGAACTATGATTTGGTGGTATTACACCTATAGGGCCTTAAAGAGAGTTTGTTGAAATAATTGCTTGATACACATTGACAAAATATATTTACAAAGTAGTTTTTCAGATAGGAAACTTAATTGGAATTTCTTAACCATGGAATTGACAGTACTTTTTAATTTTTAATTCATGATCATGTTTTCTGTTAATTATTTGTTCTTATGAATATTCCATGAGGACTAAGTCCAAGTTTATTAGAATAGGTGTGAATTTAGTATAGAAAGTGCAGGAAAATCCAGTCTCTGTTGTGTTATGATGTGGTTGTTTTTCAGTTATGCTCTATCTCTATATATTTTAATTAAAGGTTTGAAATGGGAAGATATATATAAAATGAATACATATATTATTTTCTCATTAAAAATTAAATTATGGAAATACCATATTAGTGTGTATTTTGAAATGAACTAAGATGGGACAGTGAACAATTGGGCCAGTAAATGTACTGCTTTTTACTTTTATGAAAACCAAATAAAAATTATTTTTCCTTCTTATAATTTGGTTAAAATTATTATTCAAAGAGTCAGGATTTAACAATTTTTCAATTTTCTTTTAATGTTCAACTGAAACATTGTATTTATTTAAAATAGGAAATGTAGTGGAATCTGAAGTCTGTATGTAAATGTATTTCTGTTGGAGTAACTATCTTGGTAATGTTTTTGTCCTGTAAGTTTCAGGAAAAGGCTGACCATCAATGTTTTACATTGAATACAACTTTAACAACTAACAATTCACATTTACACAAAATAAACAAAAGCAGTTTAGGAAAGACAGAAACAGAACTTATTTTTATGAACTGCAAAAGAAAAACATAAAAGTTGTGTTTTAAAATGAGATGGTCCCTTTGGAAACACTGAGATATATTTACATCCAAATTAATCAAAAGAAGGACATCACTGCACTATATATGACAATCACTTTACTAAAGCTATGCACAAATGAGCAAGTTTCAAATTTTTGATCATCTAGTGTTTGTCATTTATAGTCATTCATTACTTTTTCTAATTTGCTGTTGAACCAAATTAGCAAGAAAATGCATGAAAGGTCTTCAAATAAAAAAAGTCACACATATTCTCAATGACCCAAAGGAAAATCTATATATTTCACTTCCTCATTGGTATTACAGTGCTAATCAAAATTTCGTTATGTGATGGATGTGTGGAAAACAGGATGGCTTAAATGCCACCTAGGCTCTCATTGACACCTACAGAAAACTTTCAAATCACATTTATCTTGATGAAAAAAAAAAATCAATTAAACATGATTATCAGATATTTGAACAGTCATGACATTTGAGATTGACCACTATTGACCTTTATTAACGTCAACATTATAACGTCATAAATCATCAATGATGGAAATGGGCACCTGTTTATAGAATAATTAATAAGAAATATTATATTCAAATAATATGAATAAGTAAATGACCTTATGTACCTTCAAAAGATTTTAAAATCCTATGCAAGTATCATTATAATTTGTTATAGTACCCGGTACATTAGTATCAGCAGATTTGCAAAAGCTAAAAATTGCCACCTCATGATAGAAATTAAAAAAAAAACTGTATATCATGTATATACAATGTAGTACCATAATTGTTTAAAATGAAGAATATTTGACCTATTATGATTTGTTCTAATATTATTGTGTGTCTGAAGAATATGGAAGTTTAAAAAAAGGTTTCTGTAGACAGATTGCTGTCTTTTTTGTCTATAACAAATGTTGGAAAAGCTTTAGAAAAAAAAAATTAGTTGGCTTTGAAACAGGGATAATGATTAATTTAGACTGACCCATACATTTCAAGCATTGGTTGGTCTTAAATTAATAGAAATAATCTAATCTTACCCTCTCTTCTGTAAATTTATTAATCACTTTTCATTTTTTGCAGTGACTGATTTCATTTGAAGATGAAACGGGGGTGTAAAGTAGAGGCAATATCAAAGACATTGCGCAATACCAAGAATACAAAGTCATTGAAGTCACCCAGGAGAGTAGGATTTGGAATAGTTCTCTGTCCTACACACACTGTAGTAAGAAATTAAACCACACAGAATATTTGCGTGGTAGAAATTTTGTGGTTTAATCTGCATTGGTTCAATTTCAAACATAATGTTTGCATTATGATAATGATGTATTGATTTTTATTTTCAAAGTACACTTTTGATTGATTATTTTTTTGATAATTTGTGAATGGTTATCAACTGAAAAGCTTTTTCTTATAAAATTTTGACCCAGTGTATTCATCAATTAGTTTATATTTAAAAGTTATAATACAAGGGTTGACACTTTATGATACATTATCATAATGATTGACAGTTATTAATTAGTACAAGTCTGTTACAACTTAATAAGATTTGAAAGTGTAATAAGTTATTTAGCTCTAAAAGACAGGAAGATTAAAACTAAAGGGATCTGGTGATTGAGTATATAGGGATCTGATAGATTGACTCTAGATTGACATTAAAGGGATCTGATAGATTGACTCTAGATTGACATTAAAGGGATCTGATAGATTGACTCTAGATTGACATTAAAGGGATCTGATAGATTGACTCTAGGGGATCTTTTTAGATTGATCCTAAAGGGATCTGGTAGATTGACCCTGAGAGATCTGTTTATTGACACTAAAGGGATCTGTTAGATTGACCCTGAGAGATCTGTTAGATTGGTCTGTTTATTGACATTAAAGGGATCTGATAGATTGACTGTAGATTGACACTAAAGGGATCTGGTAGATTGACCCTGAGAGATCTGTTAGATTGGTCTGTTTATTGACACTAAAGGGATCTGTTAGATTGATCTGGTAGATTGACACTAAAGGGACTTGATAGATTGACATTGAAGGATCTGTTAGATTGGTCTGATAGATTGACACTAAAGATCCTTATTTTTTTTAAAGTGGTTCATTACATGTAATATGTTGTGTGAATATGTTCACTTTACAAATCTGATGGAATAAATTAATTAAAGTTCAAGTGAAACCTATCAATCATATCTTTAAGTTATTTTAAAAGATCAACAAAGTAGTAAAAGCAATCTAAATATTGGCAATTTTTTATGGTTTTTAAAAATTTACTATTGGCACATAGACCAGGAAAATACCCCAATGTTAGAATATCTCATAAAAAGTTGTAAAAACTGGTACAGTGTTAATATGCTTATGTTTGGCATAAATATAGCTGATAAAATATTGCATATTTAAAGTCAGGGATGGAAAATTTTGTCAAAGAAGAACTCGTATATATATATATTTATCAAATTAAATGTATAGGACATTATAACATTGAATGTATAAGTATTTATTTTAAGAATATTTCTTTCGACTCTGTCGGCTGAAAGTTCATGGTAAAATAGTAATAATGGGGTTTAAATATTATTAAATAGTTTCTATTATACTTTTATGTTAGAATATATGCATTGTATAGTATTAAATTTTAACAAAAGCTCATTAAATGTTATCAAACCTGTTTGACATTCAACTACTGATTTTCTTATCAAGATGAATAAAAGGAGATCTTGGGTACACATCAAAAACCAAAAGACATCTAGGGTTTGACATACAGTCTTAAAAAAAAGGTCTTTACTATATGCATGTTAATCTCTAAATGACCCTGAGTCTTGAATTGTTTTGAATAAATTTGATAGATGATATCAAAGAGCTGCTATCTACATTTAATCCGATAAATAAAAGCACAGAGATAAAACAAAAGACAAACACTGGCAAGATTCATTTGAGTCTTTGCACAGATTTTGTTTGTGATTTGGGTTGGGTTGGGTTGGGTTGGGGGGGGGGGATTATTATAAGAGTTTTGTGCAATAGATAATGTGCAGTCAAATCACCTAATTTTGTAGTTTTGGCCATATGGCTTATAAAACAATGAATGATAAAAGCATATAAGTGAAGTTCCTCTTGCTGTTTTGAGAGGACATTACCAAAGTAACTTAAAATTGTGTTATACACCAAACATGCAATAATACATACATACATACATCTAATGTCGTTTTTCACAGGATAATCAAAGTTGTTAAAACTAACTCATTAAAGTTGTGTGTACAATACATGCCGGAATAAAATTACCTAAAATATCTTGGGCTTATCATATGAAATAAATAATTTCCTTTTTCTACGAAATATTATCATTTTACTACAAAACTTGATATTTATTGTATTCAATATTTGATCAATATTACCATACAGTTATATGTGGGTTCTATTTGTTATTCAATTTTAAGTATTTCCTTGTACAAAGTAAGATGTAATTTCCGATGACAAGGACAGGAAAATCGTAGAAGATTTCATAGAAAGATTATAGAAATATATGCATTTGTACAGGAAGCTTTAAAGGGTCCATTTATGCAAGGTATTGTACATGTATAGGACAGGGTATTGTACACTTATAGGACAGGGTATTTAAAGAACTGAATACTATATTCAGTTATAATTCATACTGTCAAAAAAAAATCAAATATTAAAAGATGATTCAGCTTGAGTTATTAAAGTTAACTTTCACAAAAATAACTATGCTGGAAAATATTCAACCAGAATAATCTAATTCTTGAAAACCTGTCCTTTTGACATTGGATAAAATTCCCTAACTTGAACAAAAAGTGTGAGGTGTAACATGATTTAGATAGCAGTATTGAATATTTAAAAAGTTGCAATACTGCTAGCTTAAGCCTATTTAGTATACTGTAGCTGTTGTTTCAGTGGATACTACTAAATCCTATTACTTTAATTCACTCTTTCTATTATCTGTGCTAAAAGTGAGTAGACATGGAATAGTTCATTTTCTAGATCCTCTCTGTGGCCAAGTCGAACAATTAATTAGTTATATATCTTCAGATATCAAATTTACAAAATGATGTGTGTATTGCCATACTTGAAAAGAAAAAAAAAATAATTGAAACATTTTCAAGTTGCAGACAGAAGTGCATGATGTATGAACTTCTACTTACGAAGTTATGGAAAAGAGAAACAATATGATACTTGTATGTTTCTTTGCCCATTGTACAAATACATTTTGATTAAAGTTCACATTGTAAAATTGAAAGTCGGGTTGTTGTCTCTTTGACACATTCCCCATTTCCATTCTCAATTTTATTACAACTCAGTGCTCACAAGTACAAAAGAGAATAGTTTATACATTATAAATAAATATTCTGATCCTAGGATCATTTTTTATATGGATAAGAAAGGGATTAAATCAGCAACAATATATATTTTTTCAGGAAACCTTGAGGATTAGCTTTGAGAAATAGAAGGTATCAGACAATTCACCAAGTTTTTAACTGCTTCTGTCATGAAATAGAAGTTCCTTCATAATATAAGTACCAAATGGAAGAAATATTCTGTATAATATGTTTTCCACTGGAACAACAAGAACAGAATTCTTTCCTTAGGGAATAAAAGTGTATAGAATATTTGTTCCACTGGGTACAGATATTGTGGCATTTTGTATATAAGTAACATATGGAAGAAATATTCTGTAATATTTTTTCCACTGGAACAAGTAGTACAGAATTCGTTCCTTCCAGTATAAGGGGTATAGAATATTTGTTCCAACAGGTACAGATATAGCATTTGGTATAACAAAGTTTCAAGGGGAAATAATGTTAGGTGGAACAAATATATGCTTACACTTCTACTTACTTTCAATACAATTAGCTTTCATTTAATAATATTTCTGAACTATCAGTTCCCTAAGGTATCATTCAGCCAGGAGCAAAAGCAAAAACTATATGTGCTTAGAGTTTTCTCCTTTTTCTAGTATAACAAGTATATAAAAACCACCTACAATTTTGTCGTTATTCATTTTCTACAAAATGTGCTAATAAGAGTGGGCGTTTTAGGCAAGGAAGGGAAACCCTAGATGCAAGTATTGTTTATTTTGGCTGAAATGTTATATTGAATATTCTGTTATTGTCTTACAAATAAATAAATTGATTTAAGATTAAAATTATTGCCTTTGAAGTCATTGGTTATTGCTTGCTCAGCATGAGAGGATAACATTTAAAACTGGTTACCAGCTGATCCATGTGTTAAATGTCACTTTATTAACAAGATAACCTCGGTGGTCGTGTGGAGGTTGTTGGTTCGGACATTGCTCTTGTCAAACCAAAGACTTGAACATTATGGCTGCCTCTCCTCTATTCACGTAGGATGAAGACTAGTAGGTCCAGTCTGGAAAATGTGTGTGGGAAGTTTGCATGTCTTTTTATACGACTAAAAAATTTTGAGGTCGTATATTGGTATGACGGCGTCGTCGTCGTTGTCCGAAGACACATTGGTTTTCGCACTCTAACTTTAGTTTAAGTGAATGGATCTCTATGAAATTTTACCATAAGGTTCAATACCACAAAAGGAAGGTTGGGATTGATTTTGGGGGTTATGGTACCAACAGTTAAGGAATTAGGGGCCAAAAAGGGGTCAAAAATAAGCATTTTGGTAACTTCCAGACATAACTTGTGTGTTAGTGTATGGATCTCTCAGACATTGTACCACAAGGTTCCATATCACAAAGGGAATGCAGGGATTGATTTTGGGGGTAATTGCCTTAAAATTTTAGGAATTAGGGGCCAAAAATGGGGCAAAAAACAAGCATTTTTCTAGTTTCATGATAATAACTTGTGTGTAAGTGTATGGATCTTTCTGAAATTGTACTACAAGGTTCCATATCACAAAGGGAAAGCTGGAATTGAGTTTGGGGGTAATTGCCCAAAACGTTTAGGAATAAGGGGCCTCAAAGGGGCCAAAAATAAGCTTTTTTCTAGTTTCCAGACAATAACTTGTGTTCAAGTGTATGGATCTTTCTGAAATTGTACTGCAAGGTACCATACCACAAAGGGAAGGCTGGGATTGATTTTGGGGGTAATTGCCTCAAAATTTTAGGAATTAGGGGCCAAAAAGGGGCAAAAAACAAGCATTTTTCTAGTTTCAGGACAATAACTTGTGTGTAAGTGTATGGATCTTTATGAAATTGTACTACAAGGTTCCATATCACAAAGTGAAAGCTGGGTTTGAGTTTGGGGGTAATTGCCCTAAACGTTTAGGAATTTGGGGCCAAAAAGGGGCCTAAAAACAAGCATTTTCTAGTTTCCAGACAATAACTTGTGTTCAAGTGTATGGATCTCTCTGAAATTGTACAGCAAGGTACCATACCACAAAGGGAAGGCTGGGATTGATTTTGGGGGTAATTGCCTCAAAATTTTAGGAATTAGGGGCCAAAAGGGACAAAAAACAAGCATTTTTCTAGTTTCAGCACAATAACTTGTGTGTAAGTGTACGGATCTTTATGAAATTGTACTACAAGGTTCCATATCACAAAGGGAAAGCTGGGTTTGAGTTTGGGGTTAATTGCCCTAAATGTTTTGGAATTTGGGGCCAAAAAGGGGCCTTAAAACAAGCATTTTCTAGTTTCCAGACAATAACTTGTGTTCAAGTGTATGGATCCCTCTGAAATTGTACTGCAAAGTACCATACCACAAATGGAAGGCTGTGATTGATTTTAGGGGTAATTGCCTCAAAATTTTAGGAATAAGGGGCCAAAAAGGGGCAAAAACAAGCATTTTTCTAGTTTCAGGACAATAACTTGTGTGTAAGTGTATGGATCTTATGAAATTGTACTTCAAGGTTCCATATCACAAAGTGAAAGCCGGGTTGAGTTTGGGGGTAATTGCCCTAAACGTTTAGGAATTTGGGGCCAAAAAGGGGCCTAAAAACAAGCATTTTCTAGTTTCCAGACAATAACTTGTGTTCAAGTGTATGGATCTCTCTGAAATTGTACTGCAAGGTACCATACCACAAAGGGAAGGCTGTGATTGATTTTGGGGGTAAATGCCTCAAAATTTTAGGAATTAGGGGCCAAAAGGGACAAAAAACAAACATTTTTCTAGTTTCAGCACAATAACTTGTGTGTAAGTGTATGGATCTTTATGAAATTGCACTACAAGGTTCCATATCACAAAGGGAAAGCTGGGTTTGAGTTTGGGGGTAATTGCCCTAAACGTTTAGGAATTTGGGGCCAAAAAGGGGCCTTAAAACAAGCATTTTCTAGTTTCCAGACAATTACTTGTGTTCAAGTGTATGGATCCCTCTGAAATTGTACTTCAAGGTACCATACCACAAAGGGAAGGCTGGGATTGATTTTGGGGGTAATTGCCTCAAAATTTTAGGAATTAGGGGCCAAAAGGGGCAAAAAACAAGCATTTTTCTAGTTTCAGGACAATAACTTGTGTGTAAGTGTATGGATCTTTATGAAATTGTACTACAAGGTTCCATATCACAAAGGGAAAGCTGGGTTTGAGTTTGTGGGTAATTGCCCTAAACGTTTAGGAATTTGGGGCCAAAAAGGGGCCTTAAAACAAGCATTTTCTAGTTTCCAGACAATTACTTGTGTTCAAGTGTATGGATCCCTCTGAAATTGTACTGCAAGGTACCATACCACAAAGGGAAGGCTGGGATTGATTTTGGGGGTAATTGCCTCAAAATTTTAGGAATTAGGGGCCAAAAGGGACAAAAAACAAGCATTTTTCTAGTTTCAGCACAATAACTTGTGTGTAAGTGTATGGATCTTTATGAAATTGTACTACAAGGTTCCATATCACAAAGGGAAAGCTGGGTTTGAGTTTGGGGGTAATTGCCCTAAACGTTTTGGAATTTGGGGCCAAAAAGGGGCCTTAAAACAAGCATTTTCTAGTTTCCAGACAACTACTTGTGTTCAAGTGTATGGATCCCTCTGAAATTGTACTGCAAGGTACCATACCACAAAGGGAAGGCTGGGATTGATTTTGGGGGTAATTGCCTCCAAATTTTAGGAATTAGGGGCCAAAAGGGGCAAAAAACAAGCATTTTTCTAGTTTCAGGACAATAACTTGTGTGTAAGTGTATGAATCTTTATGAAATTGTACTACAAGGTTCCATATCACAAAGGGAAAGCTGGAATTGAGTTTGGGGGTAAATCCCCTCAACGTTTAGGAATTTGGGGCCAAAAAGGGGCCTAAAACAAGCATTTTTCTAGTTTCCAGACAATAACTTGTGTTCAAGTGTATGGATCTCTCTGAAATTGTACAGCAAGGTACCATACCACAAAGGGAAGGCTGGGATTGAGTTTGGGAGTGATGAATCATAAGGGGGTTCAAAAAATTTGGGGGAGAGATTTTTTTTTTCTTTAAAATTTTCCATTTTAAATTGGTTATTTCTGATTTATATATAAAAGCAAATAATAATATGGTTTGAATAGGTAAATTAAAATTTTTTAAGTTCTTAGACCACATTCATTCTGTGTCAGAAACCTATGCTGTGTCAAATATTTAATCACAATCCAAATTCAGTGCTGTATCAAGCTTGAATGTTGTGTCCATACTTGCCCCAACTGTTCAGGGTTCGACCTCTGCGCAGCAGAGCATTTTATTTTATTCTGTTACTTTATGAACTTGCATGTTACAAATGCTACTCTGCGTGTTAATCTAGTACTAAGCAAGGTTTATATTCATATAATATAAACTCGATCTCGTCCCGATAAGCATGTGATATTATCCACTTGACATTAAACATCAATCCATTATTATCATCGTAATCAATTAAATACACTTGCAATTTAACATAAAGTATGATATAAGTCTTAAGCAAGGTCTCAAAGTTGATCAAACTGCTATTAGATACCAGGAATTAGGGGAATACTTGTACAGATATTTTACCCTCAAGAGATAACAGGCATTTTGAGATGAGAGAACTGTATGCCCAGCTTTAAATCCCCAGAAGTCTTCTAAATTTGTACATTTAACAGACTGCCGTCGACACCAAATGTACAAAGAGACAAACACCATGCATTACGATATGACTCTCAATCTCTGACGAAGTCCCTTTCTAAGGACAAGCACGTGTACACTAGTTATGCTTTATCCTTCCCCCTCTCTAACTCCCGATTGTCTATAACGAAAAGGTACTCAGAAGAACGCACACTTTAAAACAAGAAAAACAATAAATAATTGGATACAATAGAGGACAGAAACACTGAAAGCAATGTTAAAAGTTGCTTCTGTCTCGAAACCTTTGATGCGGTATTTATAAATATATAAATGATACTTGATGTGGTTGTTGCCATACGGGTGTATCAGATTGACGCTTCGGAATATCAAAGTTTGTCTATGAAAGATGATTTAGGGAGCAACCATTTAACTTCAAAAAGGGGGAGGGGGGTTATGGTTATTTGTCTTGAGTCAGATTTCGTGCATTTTTTTTTAGTTTTTCGACGCTATCAATCAAATTATTTTTTCAAAATTTAACACTATAAGGTATGGGGAAAATCTGGGTTCAGAATTTTTTTTTGTCATCTGCTTGACCACAATATTTTTTTTCATCATATTGGGGATTAGAATATTTTTTTAGGGAAAAACCATACCCCGCCCCCCCCCCCCCCCCCCCCCCCCCCCCTTGAAGTTAAATGGTCGTTCCCTTAGAGGAAAGTTGATGTTCAGTAACTGTAGAGCCTAGTTAGGTTAATTACTTCCCTAGTTCAGTAACTAGAGCCTAGTTCGGTTAATTACTTCCCTAGTTCAGTAACTGTAGAGCCTAATTCGGTTGTGTCATTAATTCGGTTTAATATTGATTCAGTCCATTTCACACTTCCTCTTTTTTAAAGAGTGTTCTGCAACTTTAGGAATAGTATAGTGTGGACTCGGTCCAAATATTTTTAGTAATACATGTATGATTAAATCTGACAAGTACAAAAAAGTCGGTATTAAGTAACCCAATATTGTAACCTTTAAAAGTATTAATATATCTTAACCTCATCTAATGGCTTTATTGACCACAACAATTTTAATACTCCGAGTATGTACTTGTGTAATTATTATAAACGGCATTCTACGTCAAGGTCAATGTTTTTGTGAAATGAATGAAGCACTTCTGAAAATAGTGGTTTCGGCTAATCCTAAACACAATTGAAAGATTAATTCTTAACTAAGATTTTTTTTTATACGAAGGTTTAATAGTTTAAAGTGCTCAAAGGCTGAACTTGTTGAGAAATTTTTGCTGATCTTTGCAGATATTTTAGTTTTTATTTCATTTATTCACATCTTTTTATTCTCCTTGTTTTTATATTGGGTTTATTATTTAGACACCAGAAGTAGAAATATGTTACAAGTTTGATTGATTGATTGTTGTTTGTTTAACGTCCAGTATATAAATCTTGCATGCACGCTCAGGACGAGACGTGACAAGTTAACAATAAATGCAATAGGTTTGTCCTTCAATAGGAGATCCACCGGGATTACGAAAGAGAAATTTGGAATACCACAGAAAAATGAGAATATAGTGGATAGGAACAAAATGTTAGCCCTTTGAACAGGCCAACTACGGACCCCTAAAAAATTGTAAGGGTTCTTAACGACCAAACGGAAGACCAACTTTTGCAAAGGATTTATTGCCTAACTGCGGATGTAGATGGGCGCGCGCCCCTAAAAAGCTTATTTAATTATGCTCACGTCGCAATAAAATCGTTGTTTTTTGAATAACCATATGACATTTAGAGATTAGCTTACAGTCTTCAACACAAGACCGTTTTCTTTCTAATATATGCTGAGCTCTAAATCGGCCCGAGTTAAAAAAATAAGTGAATAAATTTAACTTTTTACCGCTACCACTTCAAATTTTGTTTGGGGGTCCGCGGGCCCCCTTTTTCAAAATCCTGGATCATCATCTGGCTTCAGCTTATTTTACAAAATACTTTCTTTAGACCTGTAATACTGTGCCCCCTCAGTCGTGGTTTATTGATTTTGAAACTATTGCATTAAGTGTATTATTCGATCAGTTTAAGTTGAACCACTGATGGTAAGTCAATGATATTTGGTATGCAGTTGTATTGACATTAGCACATTTAATTTCTATGGAAATTAGTTAACCCTGTCCCCCTCAGTCTTGGTCTATTGACTTTGTTAAAATTTGTTAAAGTTTGTGATCAGGTCAGTTGAAGATGAACCACTGATTAGTAAGTCAATGATAATGGGTATGCAGTTATATTTAGAGTAGCATATCCCATTTTCAAGGAGATTCGTTGGTCATGTACAGAGGCGGATCCAGAAATTTTCATAAGTGGGGGCCCACTGACTGTCTAAGAGGGGGTCCCGCTCCAGTCATGCTTCAGTGATTCCCTATATAATCAACCAAATTTTTCCCACAAAAGGGGGGCCCGAGTTCATTGACTGAATGTTTGGAATACTGAGTTTAAATGTTAAAGTACTGCCATTTTAATTTCAACATGCATTTTATTATCAAAATTACATACAGGCGAGACATATCCCTGTGTCAACCGTTAATCAATCAATCAGATAAAGTCATGGTTAAAACTTGGATACACATTCCACACAAATTGTAATATTTTACGTCCATTTAACACGTTTGCTATTCTCACCATATTAATTAATTTACAACTGCTCCACGAAGCTGTTACTATCGTGTATGAATTTCATTGCTTTCCTCTATGTTTTCACAATTTTTTTTAATGTCCATTATCACACTTTCTCTTCTGACGTACATAAAGCAAAACCTCACGGATTAATTAAGGATGGCATTGGTTAGTTTCATTCACCAATGTATATATTACGATTCAAAATGATTTCTAAACATTTTTTGGGGTTAGATTGTACTACATTTTTCATAAAATCCAGTCTGTTTGATTAAACCGTCTTACCTAGAATGGGTACATTTTACTGAGCAATTGGCAAATTATTTTGAGGAATATTTCTCTGAAAATCCAATTAAAAGGAGGAGTATGATCAGAGCCTTATATAACCTCCCAAATTACAAAAATAGTAAAGTTCTTCAAGATTATCAAACATGTTTCATTTAATGATAAATGAATAGGGTGATATAAAATAAATATGGACCATTTATTGATATGTTACTATCATGAGGCTGAAATAATATGGACCCTTTATTGATACAGTCCAACTTGTTATGTTACTATCATGAGTCTGATATAATATGGACCCTTTATTGATACAGTCCAACTTGTTATGTTAGTATCATGAGGCTGATATAATATGGACCCTTTATTGGTACAGTCCAACTTGTTATGTTACTATCATGAGGCTGATATAATATGGACCCTTTATTGATACAGTCCAACTTGTTATGTTACTATCATGAGGCTGATATAATATGGACCCTTTATTGGTACAGTCCAACTTGTTATGTTACTATCATGAGTCTGATATAATATGGACCCTTTATTGATACAGTCCAACTTGTTATGTTACTATCATGAGTCTGATATAATATGGACCCTTTATTGATACCATGGCAAAAAAAACGGAAAACGACCAAAAGACGAACAACAAACAATCTACAAAGCTAAAGAATAAGCAACACGAGCCTAACGACCAAACTGGATGGTATATCCTGTGCTCCAAAAGAGTAAGTAGATTGCCTTTTTACTCATTCTTCTTGGTAAAATTATACATGAGCCAAGGTCATTAACAACAGGGGCGGTTTTAGGATAATTGAAACAGGGGGCGTATAATCAAATCTGTCAAATTTTTTGGACCTTTTTTTTTGCTACAAAACATAAAATAATTGTGAAATGCATAAATTGCCATATTCATTACAATATAAGCAGATTACGATAGCTTTTTTCTTTTTCTTTTTTTTTGAAAAGGGGGGGGGGGGGGGGGCG